CCCCAAAACCCCAAAACCCCAAAACCCCATGAGTGGAAATTAATTGAAATAAATCATCAATCAAAATAAATCATTAATAATCTAAGTTGTAATTTTACTTCTTGCTAATATTTCTTAACAAAAGCATACTTAAATTTATAATCGAATTTCATCGCTGAGTAATTCAAGATGAAAATTATGACCAATCATCACCAGATTGGGATATCTTTTTTCTTTTCAGGTTTTCTAACAGCCAAGAAATTATCTAGATCATCTTCTTGCTCATCATCAACTTAGTTGACTTTGACTGTTTCACCGAAGAAAGGATTAATAATTGGTTTCTTTTACTCTGTATCATTCATCGGTAAGGTTTGATCTGATGCCTAATTTTTCAATTGTTACTAGGCTTATGAAACTAGTATTGATCTGAAGCTATTGCCATCTTCAAAGTTAAAGTCTTTTGATTCCTCCCCTATGTCATTGTTTATCTAATTAATTTTGCTACTCTCATTTATTTGATTATTTTGTAAAGCGTTTGGAGTAGAAAATGTTTGATGCGAAGAGGGTCTTTCTTAGCTTTCTGGCTCTAATAAATATTCATTTAGTATAATTCTTACTTTAGAAGAATGATCCTTAAGAGGAGTCAAAGTTCTTGTTGCTTGATAGATCCTTTATATATGATGATCTATCTTAATCGTAGGCACCATTATTGATGTTAAAACTACTTTGATACCGAAGATTCTTGCTTTCCCTATAATTTTTAGATAAATACACACAAGGTGAAATTACTTTGGAATTGTTGGGCTTTATGCTGAGGTTTTTGGACTTAATAAATTTGACTAGTTATTACTATAAAATACTCCTAGATTTTCAGATTATTAATTGTAGTTTGGATTATCTTAAACCTATGTTTGCATTATAAGTTCTGCAATATTTGTGTTGCTATCACCGTTTAAGTTGTTGTTTTTAGTAAATTGACTCTGACTAATTAGATTATTAGATTCATCAAAAGCCTCTATCATTAAGTTCCTTTTTTAATCTCTACTAATTCTGTTTTTAATTTACCTCTTCTTTTTCCATCTCTTATATTCCATGTCTTCCTTTTGCTTTAGTTTCTATTTCTCTTTATCAACTTTACTCTTTTTGAATTATTGTTTCAATTGCTAAATTGTAATTGTAACTATGATGATCCAATTTGAAAGAATGTATAGTCCTATCAAAATTATAATGAACCAGCCATAAGAATTAGCTTTTTCTTCTGGTAAATCTTCATCCAAGAAAACTGAGGAGAATAAATGAAGGAACAATAGTAGAGCCTCTCCTAATGCGGTTAGTGCAATCATAATTTTATCTTTCTAAGGTCTTATTATTACTACATAGATTATCATAACACCAGCTGTGAAGCTCATGAATATAATCTAATCAGAGGGTCTGTTTGCAAAAAGCACTAATGAAATAGCAAACAATGCTCTTCTTAATAAAAACACTGGGTAGTACATGTATCTGATTGGATGAGATAGGTCAACTTCTTTTACAATAGTGGAGTAGGATAGCATGAATTTTTCACTTTAAATTTTTTCATAGTTTCTCTAGAGCACATTCATAAGTAAAATTGGGAGGTATGTCAAAATAACCCCGAAAGCAATTGCCATGAATGCTGAGAGTGTATTCTCCATTGTTGATAAATCCATCTAAAATATCCCAAGAATAAAAGCTAAATACATAGAGACATAGGACATTATTACACCTCTTAAAAGTAATGTATATCTAAACTTTTGTTCGCCTTTCACCCAGACTTTACAGAACTTATGTTTATCTGCATATTTTTTCTTCATATACCATACAAAGGGGTATGCTATTACTATACCAGTCCACATTAAAATCTTTCTTCCGGATAAAAAGATAAAATTACTAATCTTCCAGCCATAATCACTAAATTTTGAATTTAATGCTGGCTCTATTTAAACAGCTGAACCAGGTCTGCTAACTACTTAATCATAAAGAATATTCGGTATAATAGTTGATTCTCCATGAGATCCAAGCATCTTTTCGAAAACAAGAAGAGTAATCGCTGGATATTTAATATTACAAAGAGGTAGCAGACTAATCAATTAAATAGTATTGACCATTGTCCACATAGCTGATATAGATCCTCCAAAAACAAGAGAAATAGCAAGATTAATAGCCACAGCACCAAAAGTTGCGAGCATCGAGGTATCTCCAGCAGAATCGAGTTTTGCTTTAGTTTCTGGATCGATGTAATCAAATTTGTTCAAGAATGAATACATAGGAAGTACAATCATTCCATTGCCTGTAGCATCCTTATAGACATTAGGATCTGAAAATTGAATAACAACCTACTCATTTTCACTTCCTTTTAGTGTTTAGTATATTGATAGTTAAATTCCAATAAGCTATAAAGGTTCAGTAGTTTTGTACTAATCCAATAATCTCCATTCAAACTTATAGCTACCTTGAGGACCCTTAATTTGTACATTTAATGTTGTTGTATCAAGTTAGCTTTATAGTTATACTTCTTCATCAAATTCAATTAGAATTTGATTAGACATTGTCACTAAGCTAATTCGAGGAGATGGATTTCTATTGTCCATGCATACACTCGGAGTAGTTTTAGAGCCTGAAGTACAATTAAATCCAGTCTCAATAGCGCATGTGGCTGAGCATCCATCACCATTTATTATATTTCCATCATCGCATTAATAAGAGCCATAATTAAAACCGTCTCCGCAAATTTCAATGCAACCATTTATAGTATCATCTAATGGTTCCATCATTCCTGGCTATTCTGAACAAGTCAGACATTACTAAGCAACGAGCATATTTTTAGGTCTGCATGATAAGCAATCGAATTAACTTTTGCCTTAACAAGTAAGGCATGAAGGATCACATTCATAGCAAGATAGCTAAGGTTTTATAGCTCTATACTAGTTATCAAGGCAGGTGAAAAATGTGCATTCACCATTATTTAATTAATAAGGTCCTTCAATGCATTTGGTGCAGAAAGTATCAGAAATACAAGTTTCACACCTTGGATTACATTTTTTACACTCTCTTGAGAAATTATCTTGATAATATCCATCTGGACATAACCCTTTGCAAGAGTTTTGAAAATAGAAATAGCCAATTAATGTTATCGTATTTTCTGCACATGTATAGCATTCATTATCATTATATCCATAGCAAGTTGAGCATTTAGGATCACAAGACTTACAAACTCCATCAACTACAAATTGATTGTCATCACATTTTGTGACACAAAGTGAACCTTGTCTTAAAAAGCCAGTAGCACAAACTGTACAAGTATCAGCACCATAACCTGAGCAAGTCTTGCACGAATAATGACATAATAGGCAAGCATGAGTAACCGTGTCACCATAGTAACCTAGGGGGCAGTCACTTAAACATTCTGAACTACCAGGCTGTAGAAAGTATCCAGCTACACATGATCCACAATCAGTTGAAAATTTAGTCGTACATGTACCACAGAATGGATGGCAAGGTTGACAAACCTAATTAGCATCTCCGTAGAATCCTTCATCGCATCTTACCTTGCATGCTCCATTTTGTTATAATAGTGCTGGATTTTTACATATTAAACAGTCTTTATTAGTGCTACCCTTACAAGTTTTGCAGTCTAGATCACAAAGATCGCAGTTTGAAGTTGGAAAATTAGCAAAATATCCAAGCGGACAGGTATCAAAGCATGTGGATTCTTTAAGTAAGTAGCCATTTTAGCATCCTTAACATTCAGAGCTCATTCCACCAGTACATTTAGAGCAATATGGATGGCATTTTAGACAAATTTTTTGAGATACGCCTCCAATCATTTCAGTTTATATAAAGAACCCAGTCTTTGTTCCATTCACCACAAGGGGATCACTGCAATTATCGACACAAATGGTATTTGGATAGTATATTTTTCCTGTTGCACAACTCATGCATTATGATTAATTGCCTCCAAAGCATTCTTTACAATTTTCATGGCAATCCTCGCATTTATCTGTGGTTTCATTATAGTATTTTCCTGATACGCATGTACAGTTGCCAAAAGTATTTGAATAAATGACATTAGATATTGCTGGATTTCTTGAGCACATAGTGCAATTATCCTTAAATGGACCATTGCAAAGTCCACAGAAGAAATGACAAGGGTCACAGTTTTCTCCGAATTTATCTTGATCGCATTTACTTAAGCATTATCTAGAGCTACTAGGACACAAAGTACATTAAGCTTAGTTACCAAGAGGTTCACAAGAAGTTGATATTTGCTTAGAGGCCTCTTCTTTGAGTCTTCCATATCCGAAAATTCTCAAAGACTTATAGATTATAGTTCTTTAGTTGGTTATTTTGATGAATGACTCATCAGGCCATAAGTATACGGGAGAACTACTACCTTGATCATTATACTTCACGACATCATCTACTTGAAGTTTGCCATAAACGTTATAAGTTTTTGTGCTCCCAGATTTTTCATAGTCATATCTAAAGAATGCGCATGACACATAATGCCATTTATCAAATTTAAATAGACCTGGAAAGCTTGTTTACTAATCACTGTTGTCTGAAAACTGATAAATCACTGATTCTCTAACATCAGAAAGTGTCAACTTAAAGAAGACTTTGCCATTGTTTAGTTTATCAACCACTGTAATTGGTATGGCCGCCTCATATTCACTTGGATTGTAGATAGTTTAATCCTTATATCTCCTCACCCAGAGCTCTACAGTGAACTGAGGGAAATTCTGGAATGGTGGAGCTGAAGTCGTATAAACTGTAGCTTTATTGTAAAACATGTAACCTTGACCATAAATTCTGAAAGGTTCATCATTATCAACTTAGTCAAGATTAATCTTCATTATATGTCTTTAATGAGGACTTTAATCAACAATATACTAAGTGATATTGTAGTCCTCGTCAAATTCCCACTTAGCTAGATAAATTTCCCCATAATCAGCTCCTTCAGTGCTACAAGTAAGATCTACATTGAATGAAGTAGGAACTGGATATTAGATCGTGCAAAAGGAGCAAGGAATGAGTCCTATGCAACTTGGTGTAGGCCTTCCAAATTATCTGAAAAAATATTTATCAAAGACTGTGTCAGATGATTGCAATATATTTGCAAAGCTCTTCCAAATAAACAATCTGCCTATAGTCATCAGATTACCTTCTGAATATCCTTTTCTATAATATGATTCACAAGGAGAGCCAAGATAAATGTCTCTTTTCATAGGCAGGATATCATTCCAAATGTAATCTTTGAATGATGCTTCAGTAGCTTTTTGCTCGAATGCATTTCTCAGCCTCATGTATACTTTAGATGTAGAACTTGCAGAGGAATCGAAGGAAACAGAGAGTAATTGCCATCCTTACATTTTAGTGTCTACCCTCATTACTACTGATTAAGTGTATTAAGATTTCAGATCCCAATATTGACTTAAGAGAAAATCAGCTCTAATTTCTTAGTAACTTTGATAATGAACCTGGGATATAGCTATTACTTAATCGTTAAAGTTGTCATATCTTTTATTCGCAAAAATTTTTCCCGACTTGCTTTAACCACTTTGTATATATGTGTTGTCAATGGATTTGAACCAAATAACGATCATAAATTTTTAGGTGAATGCCATGTTATTAGAATTTTCTAATCTTATCGAATCTGTTTCCCTTGAAAAATGCAAACCATCAGGACCTCTAACTGGGAATGTCGATGGAACTTTCGTACAGTTTTCACGATCAGCTGAAATTTAATATTATCGTATATATGAATTTACGTAAGAATCCAAAGGCCTGTCTATCGTCTTTTTAAATCTAATCGAATACATAGTCGTATCCATTATAACTCACTGTTTTTGTGAAGTCATAATAGTGATCGGGATCTGTTGTCTGCCCAGATATAAAACTCATCTAGGTTATAATAATTGCAAGCAATATCATCAAAGAATAATATATGGACATTCTTTTTCCTATCAGAGGTGATCTCTAATTGAGAGGATATGTCATTTATTTTAATGATTTTAAGTTTATGCTTATTAATTTATTGAAAAGGTCTGTTCGTATTTAATAATCAATCAAGTCTATTAATTTTATATCCCAAATTTTTGCTTTATTGAATAAATAATTCATGGGGTTTTGGGGTTTTGGGGTTTTGGGG